AGGAAAGCTGTCAGCTGCCAGGGAAACTGCTTCGGAGATTTAAAATTAAGACATTTCCTGATCTTATTTGTCGCTCAAGTATTCATTCGGTTATAAGCATGTTTAGAGATTATCAAATGAAGGTCGTTAAGTAGATCCCCTTGTTAGCGTGCGCACACCCTGCAGCCGTGTTATATTAGATCCTGAATAAGGCTGGGCTTTCCATTTATAATAAAGTAACAACAACTAGCAACTCAGGGTGGCGTTAATTATGTTTACTTATTTATTTAACTGAACTCGTTCGAAAAAGAATCAGCGAAAGGAGTATGTGTGCAAACTACGCAGTTTTAATAGGCCTCTATTAAACAGCAAACAAGTATAGGAATAAAAAGCAGATTACTTTGAATTATGCTTAGAAACTAAGGGAAATTGTCATCAATTCCAAGGCCTTAATGGGAGCTGTCCATGGTTCTGAATGACATTAACTGTGGAAGCCCATACTCGTGCCACACAAAGCCTTGGAGATTACTGTCTTCACCTTCTCTGAGATACATGTACTGTCTCAGAAATCAGTAGCCTCTATTATTTATGCATAGAGCGAATGATTTTTAGGAAGTGTATAATTTTAAGGTTCTTATTTGCAAAACCACGTAGAATTCCAAAGAAGGACTAATGAAACCTACTGACATTTGTAGTCCATAGAAAATTAAGAGATTGACTGAACGAATGTTCATATTAAAAGGATCTACTAAATAACCAAACATATTTCCTCTACTTGGAAGATACTTATAGGAACAAACTGATAAATAACCTTGTTCTAAGATATATAATATTGTCATGTTTGTTAGAATTTTAAAGGTTGAAACTAAGTATAGAATACGATCTTTCTCTGAATCCTCAACGGAAATATGTTGCAACGCTTATTACAAAGTTTCCATGAAAAAACTTTGAGGCATCAGCCTTCAGTCTTAATAACAAAAGTAAGCATGGTCTTATTAGAGATATATTTGGTTTTGCAAATAGAATGCCAAACTTTAATCTCACACTAAATTAAATGATTACATATACTTTTTTAAATAATGTGAAAAGACCATACTTTTCAAAAGATGGTATCATATATCTAATAATTAAACTTTTACCACCTACTGGATGAAAACAGGGCCACCTTCCAGGAATTGAATAGTGTGCTAAAATATTTTGAATGAATGAAATTCATGAAATTAGAGGTTTTCCACATTTTCCCAAATAAGTCTTATGAAACAAAATATCTCTTTATAGATATAAAGGAAACAAAAATGTTACTAAACAAAGGAAGAAATTAAAATCAGATGGTGGTTGAATTTTGTCATGCATTTCAAAGAAATGGGAGATGATTAAAAAGTGAGCTAATACTGTAAACAAATTCCGGTGTGAAGTAGTTTGAAATGTTTGAATAATTGCATAGTTGGAGAAAGAAAATGACAGACATAAACATTATTATTTAGATTTTTAACTGGGCGATATCTGAAAATATAGATTTAAAAATCATACTAACAATATCTATAAAACAACACACTAGGGAAGTAATCATATAAATGCTTATTTGCATATGGAAGACATTTACATCTTATTATTTCATGAATGTTTTTATATGATCTCAATACTAATATAAGATTTCTCAAAACCTATTAACATCAGGACAATGTAACATAAAAGCAAAAATAGAAAGACCAAAGTCTGACAGTATTTTTTCCTAAAGGAAAAGCAATGTGCAAGTAATCTTCCACACAGTAGAGATGTTATGGTGATGATCTGTTCACCTCAAGTCCCTTCCTAAAGAAGGCACTTTAAAGGGAGACGTTTTGCTATGATTCCTACAGTGCCAAACTATGTTCGGTAATTTAGCTACTGAGAAAGTGACACCTAAGAAAACATTTCCATGGGTGGAGATATCGAAGATAAGGCTCTCCAAAGGGCTTTTTTCCTTGACACTTGCAGGAGCCTTTGCATGGCCAGGCCAATGTACTGGGTCTGCTCTGTGGTCAGCCCCACACTGCTGATCGTAGCGTGAGCCTGCCTGCTACTCTAGGGCATGTCAGGACATGAACACTGAGGCTAATGATCTAGTTAGCATCCCTTCTCAGGACGATTCCTATGGCAGGTTCCTTTCCACTCCCCTCAGGTTGCACTGCATGGCCAGCCATGCTCCCGCTGAGACTCCGGGAGAGCTAGCTAGGTGCCTCTCACCCCAGCGGCCCGAGAGTGCTATTGCTGTGTCTGGCAGGTAGTTTTCTCCACCTCCGGTCTAAGTAGGGCAGAGCCGCTGTGTTTCCCTTCTTTCTCAGGAGAGGATGGTGGTAGAAACCTTCAGGGACTAAAGAGTCAAATACTATCAGTGCTGTCAGCAAAACTGGGTGGGACCTAGAGAACTTAGTTAAAAAAAATCTTAAGGTTTTGTTTATACCATGGTCTCTGAGCACCCAAACTAGGGAAGATACAGTTGTTTAAAACAGAAAATTATACTGTGGAGTGAGGACATGGTCTCAGTCTTACTGAGTTTCATGTGAACAACACGTACACACAAAAAAATACTTAATTTGGAGGTTAAATATGATTTTTTT